CATTCCACAAGTGTCATTCATCAATTTTTTATTACAATTGGTAAAATTGTTCTAAAGGTCATGTTAAAATGTAAATACATGTTAACTATATCAATTAGAACATTGAAGAATCACATGGAAAACAAAAACATAAGGTGACACATAATTTATGATTTTTCCTTTCATACAACACATGCAAGAGATTGAGATCAATTTCACTATTTAGTATATACGTCCCCATGCCTAGAATGAGATTACTCACTCCTCACTTACTTTGGTAAATGTTAGATGATGGACATGACTCTCCGAAATGATCTCCCACGAACTCTAATTCTTGCAATTCTTCAGAGCGTAAGTATATAAGAGAAAGAAAATTATAGGACCGTAAAGTGAAAATTGACTCAACTCCTCTACTTAAAACTTAACTCCTCACTCAACTAAACATTTAAAACAATTAACTCAAATTATACTTTCCTTCACTCAAATAATAAAATAAAACAATTAATTATAAAAATCATATATATATATATATATATAATTAAAACATCTATTAAAACCAGTCCCATTTAATTATAAAATAAATAAATATCATTAATAAACAACTTGGGGTCTTACTTTGATTATGTAGATAGGATAAGGGGAAAATACACATTCAACACGGATCGTCATATTACATATTTTCCCGTAAAATTTAATGTAATGGAAATGTATGTAGACATATGTTAATACTCATTTCGTTTCATACTTTTATTAAATAATTATATATAATTATTAATTAAAATATTCACATATATATTATAAATTTAATTATTAAAATATACTCTTAATCCTATTGTCACTTAATTACTTTTTTCCTTTCGTATTCAATTTTAAAAATTAAAATATTTTATTTAATAATAATTAAGATTAAATGATTTAAAAACAAAATTTTAATCCAATTAGAACAATTTTTAATTAATATTTTTATTAATTTTATAATAAAATAAAATGCAAATAATAAATACAGATGTAAGTAATAAATACAGATGTAAGCATATTGCTAAACATCAATTAAATAGATAATGTAAATTCAAGTTAAGGGTGTTCATGGATCAAATTTTAATTTGAATATGAAAGAAAATTAAACGTGAATTGATTAATTTTAATTGATTCAATTTCATTCAACTCTTTTTAATTCAAACTGAATTTGATGTTGAATGAGTTGCTTTGATTTGAGTCATCATATATCTAATAAAAAATTTATAAAAAAAATCTTATCTTAAATTTGAAAGATAATAATTTCATAAAAGAATGTAAATTACATATATTTAAGTATAATTAACTTATACCAATCAAATTTTAATATAATTTATAGAAAATAATACAAACAACTTATTAAACTCCATCTATAATAAATTAACAATAGAAAGAAAAACAACTAAAATATCCAACCCAAAACCAAAGTATTTACACCAAATTGTCTAAAAGAAACCAAATTCACCGACATACACCTAGTTCACAGATTTCCAATCTTGATCAATAATATTAATAATAATTCATAAATAATTAGTTTAGCCTGTGTTTCAAAAGTGTGAACCTAATTCTTCAATTTGTTAGATTTGCATCCAATTCAAACTGGGTTAAAAAAACAATTTTTTTCATTTTGAAACATAAAGTTCGTTGGATTATTCTGAACTGATAAACCCTCATAATTAAAATTGCTCCATCTACGTATATGAGACCATGTATAAATAGTTTTTTATAAACACAGATAATATAATATCTTATTATCAAACCCTACCTGTTACCATCGTGTCCTTTAGAAGCCTCGTATCACGATGACATGAGTCCATTTTGTATAAAGTGGCTTTATAAATAGAGTTGAAAGACCATGGAAATGGATGAGCACAAAAGCAGAAAGACTACGTAGCATTTTGTAGTTTCCTGAATCATGACTTGATGAATTTGAATGCAATGCCCTTTCTATAAAAATGATTAGGCTACGACGTGTTACCATACTGCTTACGTGACTAAGGTGGTTTTTGATTCTCTTGTCAAAAGTATCCAAGTGGGTTCGCTAGTGAACTTATAGGCAACATCTACATACGATGAATATATGGGATATGTAGTTTATGGGTTAGTCATAAAGTTAATATTATTTGATATAATATGAACAATGAAGATGATGGCTTAAATAAGTATGTTACATTAAAATTGTAAGTTAAACTCTAGTCTAGAGTACGTGATAGGCTTTGTTGTCACTGTCTCTCACTTCTAATGATTCCACCCTCGTAGGGTTTACCTAACCCACCCAGAAGATTGTCGAACGTGCTATTGCAAGTGCTCCCACTTCAGATAAGCAACCAACGCTATTAAAAACGTTTGGATTCCAAGTTCAAGGACGCATCCAACTTGATGCCAAAGGAATTCATATTAGTGGAATCATGCTTAAGGGATTGCTTCATTCCACACACCAATTTATTTCTGACTCGTCAAAAAGTGAATTGAGGGTACAAATGAGTAAATTTGCCAACCTTTCTTTTTTATAATTATTATATAAGCAAAATTTAAATCAAATGTATTAATCTCAGTACTCTTGGATGTTGGATAGAACCTTCCTCGAAGGAATTAATATAACTCAAGTGGAAGAGCATTTATATAATATAACACAAATGTGCAACAAATAAGACAACAAAATCGGCTACCTTTTAAGAAGAAGTTGATGTTCCTATTGGATAAAAAATAAATAAAAACTAAAGCTAGACAAATTTCCTGCGTGTAACCCAAAAAGTGAATGTTCATTCGTTAAGAGAATAATGCTTCAACGTACATTATTCTCATGCGCCTTAATTAAAACTTCATGCATGCATTTTTAACAAGAGCAATTTTAGTATTTTGAGTATTATAATTATATAATTTTAATCTTTTTATTTTTAATTGAACAATTTTAATTTTTTAAGTATCATAATTATATTAAAAATAACTTAAATTGAGTCAACAATTCTATACTTTTAAAACATTATATATATATATATATGAGGAATTCATTTATACAAGATTAAGTATTATTAGACTTATTCCATTCAATAATTCATATTTCACATTAAAATTTAATAATTCAACCATTAAATTAAAAGTTCTTAATATATAAATTAAGTCTATAAATTTTTAAAAAATTTAAAATTATTTGATATTTTATTTCATTAATTCAAATTGACAGATAATTGTACAAATATTTTATACATCAATTTAAATTAATAAAATAAAGTATCAAATATTTTTTTAAAAAAAATATGCATACTTGATTTATGTATTAAAAATTTTTAATTCAACAAGTAATGTATAAATAAATATATATATATATATATATATATATATATATATATATATATAAATATATATATATATATATTTTTTTTTTTTAGT